CGGGGAAATAAGAAGCCCAGACAACTACAAAAGCTATTTTCTTGGGACGTTATTTCATTTCATTCAAACCTTGTAAAACACTTATATTTATTTTTGTCCCTATTTCATTCTACATAACATGAGCTTTCGTTCTATGTAACATTCACTGCTATACCCTTTTTTGTTCCGAAAATATTGTAATTTAAACAATATTTTGCATCTTATTTTCTACCCTAATTCCCAGTTTCGGGCATAATTGTATTTTTCCAAATTATCGTAAGTTGTGGTCAGGATATTCACTTATTTATTCATGTACATTTTTGCACTAATCCGAATTCAGAATTCAGTGTTCCAACTGTCTTGTCTCCTCTCACTTGCGTGCTTGCCAACCAATCAGGTTCTAGAATAGATCTCTCTCTACCCCATCTCGAACTCACGCGTACTAGACTCAAGGTTAAGCCGCTCAGCCTATCGCGTCAAGGTCATAATCTGGACTAGACAGATCAAGGTCAAGTCATAACCAAGTATCGACGGGGTAAAAGCGACTCAAGGTCATAACACCTAGATAGACTTTCTCCGTCGTTATGCTCTATATTGGCACCTTCAGTCAAGTCATTTAGCAAAGCCCGGCTTACTTCGTGTGTTCTGCCAAACAACCGTTTCAGTATATCGCACGCTCTACGATAACCCGAAGATGGTGAAAGCATTATGCATTCCTCTATGGCCTCTCGAGCCTTTCCTTTACAATAATGAAACAAGTACAAGAGCCGTTGGACATCGTCTTCAACCTTGGAAACCACATATAACTCAAATTGTCTAATAAATTTCCAGTGTTTAGCTGGTTTCCCATCAAAAGTACTTAGCTCTACCTTTGGAAGTTCAAGACCTACACTTGGAGATGCCAAGGTCACTTCCTTCTTCTTCTTCTTCGTTCCTGGATAATCTAACAGTTTTGACTTTTCTGGAGACTTTATCCTGAGGTCATGAGAAGGGCTCACGAACCTGTGAACGTGCTCCTGTTCTCTTTCATCACAAATAAAGGCAGAAGATAATCTACTACATGTGTTCTCGTTCAGCCTTAACGACCCGAACTCTCTCTGAAAGCACAGTAGTTGTTTCCTCTGTCTATCTTTCAAGTCTCTAATTTTTAATAATTGTCTTTCTTTCAACTCTGCTAAGGTAATCCTAGAGCTAATTTTGCTATGTCGACTTACTAAACTAACATTAGAGCCATGACATGAAAATGCATCTAATTTGACTTGCCGTACATCTGGAGGTGCATCCGATTGTATTTCTTCGTGGCCCAATGTTACGTTTTCGTTGATCTTATTGCGCTTTCCAGGCATTCCAGTATTTGTCACTTGAGATCACTGTTCGTTTGAGGAGCATGAGAACTGAAAAATGTAAATATGTGGAAGATTTAGCAATGACGGCGGAAAAGGCTGCAAGAGAAGGAAACATGAGACAAGTGTATGATACAACAAAGAAACTCTATGGAAATCACCGCAAACCAGAACGACCAGTGAAAAGCAAGGAAGGCAAGGTAATCACCAATATTGAAGAACAACGAAACAGGTGGGTAGAACACTTCAAAGAACTCTTGAATCGACCAGCTCCAATGAACTCACCCAATATCGAAGCAGCACACACGGACCTCCCAATCAATGTTGGCCCACCAACAATCGAAGAAATCAGCATGACCATCAGACAAATCAAGAGTGGCAAAGCAGCAGGACCGGACAACATCCCAGCAGAGGCACTAAAAGCAGACGTAGTGGCAACTGCAAGGATACTCCACATTCTCTTCAATAAGATTTGATATGAGGAACAAGTACCAGAAGACTGGAAAGAAGGACTTCTGATCAAAATGTCGAAGAAATGCGATCTCAGTAACTGTGATAACTACAAGGGTATCACTGTTCTCTCAATACCAGGAAACGTATTCAACAGTGTATTGTTTAACAGGATGAAGGACTCCTTAGACGCCCAACTTTGAGACCAGCAGGCTGCACAGACCAAATCGTAACTCTACGAATCATTGTGGAACAATCAATTGAATGGAATTCTTCACTCTACATCAACTTCATTGATTATGAAAAAGCATTTGATAGCGTGGACAGAACAAGACTATGGAAACTTCTTCAACATTACGGCGTGCCTCAGAAGATAGCCAATATCATAAGGAATTCCTAAGATGGATTAAACTGTAAAATCATGCATGGAGGACAGCTCACAGATTCCTTCGAAGTAAAAACTGGTCTCAGGCAAAGTTGCTTACTCTCACCCTTTCTCTTTCTCTTGGTGATCAACTGGATCGTCTAAACGTCAACATCTGGAGGGAAGCACGGGATACAGTGGACTTCTAGGATGCAGTTGGACGATCTAGACTTCTCAGATGATCTGGCCCTTCTATCCCAAACGCAACAACAAATGCAGGAGAACACGACCAGTGTAGCAGCAGTAGGTCTCAATATACACAAAGGGAAAAGCAAGGATCTTCGATACAACACAGTATGCAACAATCGGATGACACTTGACGGAGAAGCTTTGTAGAATGTAAAAACCTTTACATATCTGGGCGGCATCGTTGATGAACAGGGTGGATCTGATGCAGATGTGAAGGCGCGGATCGTCAAAGCAAGAGCAGCATATTTACAACTGAAGAACATCTGGAACTCAAAGCAACTGTCGACCAACACCAAGGTCAGGATTTTCAGTACAAATTACAGTTCTACTATATGGGGCGGAAACCTGGAGAACTACCAAGGCTATCATCCAGAAAATACAGGTGTTTATTAACAGTTGTCTACGCAAAATACTTCGGATCCGTTTACCCAGACACTATTAGCAACAACTTACTATGGGAAAGAACAAACCAGATCCCAGTGGAGGAAGAAATCAGGAAGAAGCACTGCAAGTGGATAGGATACACATTGAGGAAAGCACCCAACTGCGTCATAAAACAAGCCCTCACATGGAATCATCAAGGCCGAAGGAAAAGAGGAAGACTGTTATGACTTTAAGGTGCGGTCGATTTATACCCTGTGTTATCGATCGATTACAGTGACACGTAAACATGAACGGACGGCCTAGAGTCTCGATTGGTCTCACTTCCCTGTCTAGCCCAGTCAGTTGAGTCCAGAAGACAAGCCACAGCCTCGGAGATATGAATCATTATATTTCAAACATACTTTGTTTATATACCAATCAAGCACACCACATCGTACCATAAAATAGAAAACAACATTTTGTACAATATTCAACAAGTGAACAGATATCGACCAATAGGAAATGTCCATTTAAAGTCCAAGGACACCATTGGACTTAACATGATAATTATTGGTCTATTCCTCTGCATCCACAACAAAGACCAAAGAACACATTATGCCGGGAAATGGAGATAGACATGAGAAGAATGAACAAGAATTGGATGGAACTAGAAAAGAAGGCCCAGGATAGAGTGGGCTGGAGAATGCTGGTCGGTGACCTATGCTCCATTAGGAGTAACAGGCGTAAGTAAGTATATACTATTGAATGAATAATTTGTAAGTACTTAAACTTTCACCCAACCGTTGTCGCTACCTTGATGTGGAGGTTGGGGTTGGTATCGGGATGAACCAATCGAACTATAATGACTGGAACAATCGTTCCTCAACGTGTTTTCTTCAAACAACCAGCATGACAGCGATGCTGCCTTCCCACAACAAGGGGTGGGGTTAGAAAAGGTCGGACATAAAAACGCACACACCGCCTTATCCCACGGATATCCGTCTCCGAAGGTAAGGTCTCAACAAGTACGGAGCTAACACAAAAATCCCTCATAAAAAGATCGTGTGTGGTCGACCTTAAGCAGTTGTCCCTTGGGCACTGCGGTCACGTTCTCAGGTCTCTAAGACCACCTTTAATCCAAATTCATTTTCAGGTACCTCCAGAAGAACCCTTTGATGGTGTGGGCAACCGGGAAGTGATAACCGCCCTCATACCTCTAACGGCACTCAAGACCACTGACTGACTTAAACTGTCATGACTACATTTATCAGTGAAAAATTCTATCATACAATCATAATGTACAATTACTGACAATATTACACTTACTATCCTGATATAACCTTCTTTTACTTTCTTCATAAAAAATGGTTGTATCTTCCTTAACTGAGAAATTTCTTCTGATTGTACCTTTCCGTTTCCCCCATTACTATTATTATCATTATTATTATTGCACTACCTTACACTAATCTGTTCGTTATTGTTTTCTTTTCTCTTCGAATTCTCATTGTTTTGTGTGGCGCATATATATTTGGTACCCTCTTGTACCAATATTGATGTGTTCAAATAAATAAATATTGTACATAACGTTCCCACTGAGTTGAAAGTGATTTTTTTCTTAGATTTTAACCACCAGAATAAGAGTTACCTTACTGGTTAAACAGTCAGCGAGATTACAATTTGTGAACGACCTTTGAGCGATGCCAAAGTGACCTTGAGAGTGTTTACCTATTTATTGGGGTTAAATGAAGGTTATAAAGCAGTTTGAAGAATAAGGATTATGGTTCACAGTTGATGGTTAGGCTTAGGAATTAGATTTACGGTTTTTTTATTATCATGAATTGACATTAGCTAAAATGCCAAGACGCTATTTGACCAAATGTGTGGGTAAATTTCGCGCCAAAATTCGAGACCTGTTATCGTAAACTTGATTGGTTCGTTCATAAATTATATTCTCGCCATTTTGTGCCCAGAGGTTAGGTTTGAAATGATGAATGGCTTTAGCTTCAGCTGTGAACGAATTTTTGTTATACAAACTTTCTTTGATCCAGTTCTTTGTAGATGATGATTCTCGTGGTGGTATATGAACAAGAATTAACTATGTGTTCACTCCTCTATTTTACTATAGACTATTAAATATAGGAAAAATGCCTATAAATACGATTGTACAGTAGAGGAAAATGATATCGTCAAAGAGAAAATTTGTTTTATTCATTTTAATTAATTATAACTTGAAAAAAGTCCATTTAACTAACTTGTGCTGCATCTGTAAGACCCCATAATCCATCAAACGAAACAATACCTGCACGTATACCACATTTTCTATGTGTAGCTGATAAATAAACTGGTCCAAGTGGAATAAGAGGACGACGTCCAGGAGCAAATTTATTCAATTTTATTTCTGAGAATAATTGTAACACTGAATTTAAGTGTACACCTGTACCAGGTACAATTTGTCCATTACCAAATGGTGAACCCATGAATATATTACCAACAACAGTAAAACTAGTTGAATCAGTTGTTACAATACCTGTGCTACCGATACTGGCACCTTCCTGATAGTAGGGCAGAGAATTATTAAAAATGTAATAAACCAAATAATTGTTATACTCAATATTCCAATGGAAAAGACCAACTTGAAATTTCTTCAAAATATTCATTAAATTAAATCCCTGTTAAATTATAGTTTGGGGATATATCTTTAGTATCTAGTTCAAAGTAAGTAGTTGTTTTAAGTGACCAGACCAATCCTGAATTGTACTTCATTTCTAACTGGTCATCTTAGCGAGATTTTATATTGTCATTCATTTCATTAGGATATTGCTCCCAAATGAGGTCGACAGTGAGGAGAGTCAGTTCTCCCTCTCCAAATACTCTCACATGGCCACGTTCATACAACCACTGACAGGGAAGTTCTACTCACTGCCTTCTTGCACCACGGGTGTTGTTTATGAAATTGAGAGGACAGAAAGCGAATGTTGGGTGCTTTAACCGGGTTGGTGGATATGAAAGGACCCATAGAGGGAAGTTGGAAAACCTTGATTGGGAACCAATGGTCCACATGGGCTTCAGTATCTTGATGGAACAACTGGCGTATGAACCAATAATTGGTTACCAACTACCATGGGACTGCTTAATGTGACGTTGCTGCACTGCCTTGTGGATTAGATCTTTAGACCAAAGGTTCGGGGCGTGGCCCCCTCAGAAAACCACCTGCTTCGATTTGGGCACCTGGGCAGTATCCCAGCCTTCACATAAATCGAATGATTTATGTGGAGCATATCTATTTGGTGCCTCGTTGTACCAATATTTAATGTATTTAAATAATAATAATAATAACATTATGATATTAAAACCATTATGACAATTGATTTGCAATTAGTACTCTTTAAGTTTTCTTTTTAAATGAGATTTTACACTTACTGATTCCGTTTAAACTTTAGGTATTAAATTCTATTGTTTACTTTAGTAGAGAATGATAATATTTAATACCCCTCTGTTAAAAAATGACCACAATAAATACTTGGATTTATCTACATACAGCGAAAAACTAGAAATTATATTGAGCACATGTGTTAGCGGGACATAGATTGGATTCAAGGACGTTCCATACCATGACTGTGTTGGTGCACGCTGATCGGTTATTTCTTATCCAATCAGAGCTAGTGGATACTTGGCGAATACTCTAGAATCTTCTCATGTACAAACTATAAATATACCAAGGTTTCTCTTATTTCCATCTAGCTTTGTTATTTGGAATATGATTTCGTTCATGTTCAACCGTGTTTTGATTTGGAGACTTGTTGAATGAATTACTCACTATTATTAAAAATGCGCCTATTTCATAATAATCTTAAGAGAAGAAAATAACTATAGATAGAATGACTGAAATCATTTCATTATATTTAGTAAATCAGTTTAAACTTGAATCTTATCAATTACTCATTTATTTTTATCCATAGATACTGATACAAGGGGACACCAGATACATATGCACTATACAAATCTCATTTGATTTGTGAAAGGGCTGTGATATTGCCCGGGTGCTCAAATCGAAGCAGGTGGTATTTTTAGACCCCTATGTCTTTGACCTAGGGGTCTAGTTCACAGGGCAGTGAAGAAATGTCACATGATGCAGTCCCATGATAGCCGGTGACCACTAATTGGTTCACATGCCATATGTTCCATCAGGATCCTGAAGCCCATGTGCACCACTAGTTTCGAATTAGGGTTTTCCAACTCCCCTAGGTAGACTCTCCATGTCCACTAACCCGGTTAAAGCACCGGACACTCGCTTTTCGTCCTCTCAATTCCGTAAACAATACCCCCGCGACGAGAAGGCAGTGAGCAGTAATATATGTTATGTAATGAAAAGATTTGAAAATTTGTTGAAAGCACTTTATACAACAATGAGTTGTGAAAAGGGTCAGATCATTCAACTTGTTATTAGACCTATTTGACAACATGATATATAAGTAGTCTAGTTTAATAGATCGTGTATTTTTAAACAGTTGTGCAATCATACTTTCTTAAATGTCAGAGATCTGGAATAGTACGTACACAACAGTCGATAAAACGGTTAAAATCAATTCATTATTTCAAAGCTTAAAATTTATTCCTATGTTAATATGTCTTTATCATGAGATGAAATCTAATTGTTTATCATACATTTGATTGAATAAGATGTCAGTACTGTAGCAGTGTGAATGCTAGATTTCGATCTCATCAGATACGACAATACTTACATACAACCGATAAGTTACATGTCGAGATGAGGCAAGAATTGTGTATTAAGTTGCCAGTGATTATGAACTATTACAAGAAAAACTAGTCAGTATTGTGTTGTACGCTTCTTATGCGGACAGATATAAGTAGTATGTAGCAGGCATCGGAAGTAGAATTCTTACTGACAGAAGAGAAAAGAAAACAGAAAGCAATCAAAATAACAACAGGAATGGAATAACATTGTAGTTAGTAAGGGATAACTCAAGGAACATGTTCAAAAAGTGCATAACATAACTGATTTCCCCTGCCCAATCCTTCGTGCATTACAATATATACATATGATAGAAAACAAATACATAAAGAGAAAACAATATTACTAGTTAATAAAAAGAAGATATATTTCTAGTGTACTTGTTATGGTTTTTACCCCTGTCAACTATCACGTGACAAAATCACCGATCAGAATACTGACTTACATGATTTTGTTCCTGTGCTAAACAACGTCAACCAGTACTAGTAGTGTTAAGTCGACTTCCAATTCTTATTGGTCCTCGACATAGCAGCTTTTCATTTAGCCCTGTCCGTCGAGTCCAGAACGCAATAATATATTTCAAACATACGTGGTTTATATGCAAACAGACCAGACCACATCATACCATAAAATGAAAAATAATAATTATACAAGATCAAGCTAAAAGTGGTTGTGAGTATAGGAAACTATAACCAATAGATTGGGAATAAATTAAGATTAGTAGATCTTATAACAGTAGTTAATAGGTCGAATGAAAGTTTATGGTTAAATGAATATGAATATACAGATAATCTAGTTATCCAATAAGAATACATGTAATAACAGTCCATAAACAATCCCTAGCGGTTACTATTCATTTATTCTTCGTTCGGATGCAACAATTTATTTATTTATTTGAACACAAATATTGGTACAAGAGGGCACCAAATAGATATGCGCCACACCATATTTGTGTGTGCGTGTGTGGGTTGTGATACTGCCCGGGTGCCCAAACCGAAGTAAGTGGTTTTCTTAGAGGACCACACCCCGAGCCTTCGACCTAAAGGTCTAACCCACAAGGCAGTGGAGCATCGTGAGGAGATGCACCCCCATGGTAGCCGGTGATCAACGATTGGTTCATACGCTATTTGTTCCTGCAGGATACAGGAGCCCATGTTAACCGAAACAACATAAAGCTATGCAAAATCCAATTATGAGGAAACCTATGAATTTTTGTTGTCCAAGTTGTTGTTATTATTTTAACATTAAAACACAGAGATGTACAATAATGAGAGATGGAAAAGTACTTGATGCTAGATTACTTACTTATCAGTATTCACGATATTCTATTGATCAGGATTGCAAATGTATTTTTATGATGCTAATTAACTTAATATATATATAAAGCCAAGAAAATCTATTAGATCCATAATTTGTAGCTGATTGAGATCCCATTTCTCAGCTGTTTCATAATTTATCAAATAAAAATACTTCATGGATGAAACGTTCAAGGTTTCAATGAAAAGCGTAATGCTCTGTTTGATTAACGGATATCAGCTTGTTTATTCGGTGAGAAATGGTTGATTACATTCTGTATATGATAACACCTTATCTTCTTCTTAGACGTCCGGTTAATCCAAAAAAATAGATCTTGATTTGAAGATTTAATGGGAGAGGTCGAAAAAATATTGATAAGATCACCTAGCTACAAGTTCATTGGAAGTATGGTAAAGTGATTAGCGAACTAATGCGAAAAGTGCATTTAGCAGCGATAAAAATGGAGGATGTCTAGCGTCAGGAATTTTAGCGCGAAAAAAATAGAAATTCGAATTTACGAGAAAATAATAAGTAAACGAGTTTAAGGGATTCAAAAATGTCAAGAAGCAACTGAATTGAGAAATACGTATAGAACTATTTCACTGATAACACTTAAAGAAACTTATCTGCTAACATATTTAACTTACAGAAGTTGTTTGAAGGACGTCTAGTTGTGAATGTTCCTTTACCACACGATCATCTAGAATACTAGCTACAGTGGCTTCACGTACAGACTTTGAGAAAATACTGTCTAGAGCAGATGCAGCTGCTACACCTAAGTAAAAAAAAATACTGTCCATCAATCAAAGTTTTATTTCCAAGATTAATAATTATTTCATTCAATAGATGTTTGTAGTGTCGGTTGTTATGTTAAGCGTATATACCTTATTCTAACTTTCGGACAGCCCATTTTATTCATTCTACTTGAGTCACATTTTAACCTTGTTAATTATTCGCTTATCAATCTTCACTGTTTTTATATGAGAGTAGGTGTGTGTACATTTCTTATCCCATTCTCATCACATGTCTGTAACTTATTTTTGTGTAACTATAACTATTAATTAACACTTGGTTAAAGGGGAGTTGGCTTACACGCCATCTCTACTGCGCGTCGTATTTCTTCTCTCTATTCCATTCGCTTTATATACAAAATATATGTATTCAAAAGTCCATTCTCGTTATCTGACTTATTTAATCCCGTTATTCACTGAACGCGGATTAAGTCTATGAAGACATACGAGGATAGGCGGCATATACAATTCAATAACAATTATTCATGAAATCTACTTGGAGTCAGAACTCGGGCCACTAAAGTAGAGAGCCCTTCAACAAATATCGTTCGATCTAAATGACGACAAAACAAATGGCCCCACATGTTTAACAAATCACAGTAGTATTAGACATTTCGCAGTAGAATTAACGGTACACATATCCACAATGGACGGTAGTATAAAAATGAAAACTCTACACACACCATCTGATTCTTAGTTTGGAATTACTCATGTATTCTCTGAGAGACATTCATAGTTACTTAAAAGTTTATTACCATTGCTTACCTACGGACAATTGGCTAATAGTTGTTGTAGCCATTAAGTTGTACACTGTATAAATCTACGTCATACATAAAGGAAATTCATCCAATGCTACGTGAAAGTTATAAAGACATACTAGAGTAATGGGTAGAATAATAATAATTTGAGAACAACTGAAGTGATGTATGGGACCTGGTGCAAATATGCAGTGGCTCAAGTTGCCACATCACATATCATCAGCGGTAAAGAAATAACTCAAAAAGGGTAGAAGGCAATAAAAATAGTTAGGACCTCAGCTACAGTTATCTGAAAAAAATCGAGAATGAGCAATATTTTAAAAAAACTGCTTGTTAGAGACACACACAAAGGCAGATATATATGTACATATATATGACTAGAAAATGTTAAAAATCTGAGTGACTTTTTACCTCGAATCAAGCAACATTGTAGTAGTTACTTGAAACCAAATTGTATTGCTACTGGGTGGTAATTTTATGTTATTATACAACAAAAGTGGGTAAATGTATACACTTACTTATTGTAGGATCACTCAGATCTCCAAGTGTAGTAACTGATGCTTCAGCTAAACGAGCCAGTTCCATAAGACGATGCAAGTAGACAGCAGTCACAATTGGATCTTGTTTGAGTAATGCTTGGTGATCAAGTGGAGTGAGTGTATCTTTAAGATCTAAATTGCTCAGTAAGAGTAAAATATACGAACCACCAACTAATGGAGGTGGAAATGATTCCAATGTGAAACCAGCGAAACCCATCTGAATAAAAAAAAACAGAAATTATTCTAATTTAAAGAAAAGTATATAAATATACAATTTAATGAATATCGATTATCAATCGAATCGGTGAGGGTATCCGTTTTCATGAGTGTCTTGTGAATTAAAATAGTAGGTTGATAACGTTTCAATATCCCAAACTATTCATCTGGTATTTGCCAAGGTATTTTTCAATTTAGTGAAAGTTACCATCATAAACTCACTTTCATTTCGATGACTACTGAAGTTACTACTTATACACTTATAGAACACTGAGGTTCGGATTCAATGGTGTACATTACCAAATTCAAACAAGTAGTGAAATGGATTTCGGGCTGATGTCAATCTGTGGTATGAACTACATCGATTCTGAACAATCTCTACATACCACCTTCAATTCAATAGTAATATACACATTAGTAGCCAGCTTTTACAGGGATTCTCGAAATTCTAGTGTCAACCCGTGACTGGTGTAATTTAACCAAACTGGGAAATGATTCAGATATCATTTTTAGCATTAGGGTGAAGGCTGTACATTATCTCGAATTGATTGAAGTTCATAATGTGGAAAAAATGGGTTAAGATTCAGTGGTCTGTCTGCTGAGACTAGTATGATCTAGAATTCTATGTGGTGTGGGAGGTCGTAGAGAGAGACTATTAAAACATTCCGAATTACAACGAAACAGCTGTTTAGTTTTTTATAGCCTTGAAAGATTCTTTCCAATTGTGCAAATAATGTAATAAATTCATCCTGCTCTCTGTTAAATAACTAATCTTATGTTTATTCACCAAATGTATTCTCATAAGCTTATACATAAACAACTGACAATCTTTAAAGTGAAGTTAATCCCTGTAAAATTCAAGCGAAACAATTACAATGGTCAGGTATACTTTCCTTTTTGTTTATTCCGTTGAAGAAATAAGGCAAGGACTGAAATAGAATGTATGCATTAAATATAAATTATAGCATAAAATGATTAGTGGTCTTGGGTGCTGTTAGAGGTATGAGGGCGGTTATCACTTCCCGGTTGCCCACACCATCCAAGGGTTCTTCTGGAGGTACCTGAAAAGGAAATTGGATTAGAGGTGGTCTCAGTGACCTGAGAACGTGACCGCAGTGCCCAAGGGACAACTGCTTGGGGCCGGTCGCGCACGGCCTTTTCGTGGGAGGTTTTTGACGTGTTAGCTCCGTTCTTCAAAGGGCCTTACCGCCGGAAACGGAAATCCGTGAGGTAAGGTGAGGTGTGCATTTTTAGAGTCGACCTTTTCTAACCCCACCCCTCCTTGTGGGAAGGCAGCATCGCTGTCATGCTGGTTGTCTGGAGGAAACACCTTACTGCTGTCACACCTCGGTACAGTCAGCAGTACGACTTCGCCTTCGGACCTTGGGTTTGTTGCTTTTAGTCTTACCGCTCTTCAACCGACCTGTCTGACATGGTAGGACCTTGAGGAACGGTTGTTCCAGCCAGTATAGCTCGGTTGCTTCATCACGATAGACAAGCCCGACCACTACGTCAAGGTAGCAACAACGGTCGGGAGCATAAAATGATATTTATAGACCATACAATAATTGACACTCAATTAAGCTTAAGTTATAAATGACATAATAAATATTTATCTCTCTTAGAGCTTATCTATTCCGACTTCATCATTTATTTATTTGAACATATACACATTGATACAAAGGGGAACCAAATACATAAATCAAGTGATAACTAGCCGGGTTTAATGTTACAACAAAAACAATGATAATAATAATAATAGTAATAACATACTTTGATTGCATTTGGACGACTAACTGTATAGTTCTTCAAATCTTCTAATGACCATTGAGAATTTTGTTGTTTCATATAATCAACAAATTGTTTATTGAATGTATTCTCATTAGTATTATAGAAGTATTCATCACGTTGATTAGCTAAATGTTGTAATGTATTATGTAAGTCAACCGATGGAGAATATGGGGTATTTTCATCGATTAATTGATTTAAAATTGGTTTTAAAAAGTCTGGTAAATTTAATGTCCTTAATTTATTCGCGGCTTCGATTAAAGATTTACTAGGCTAATAGAATTAAGAGAAAAGGAAAATAATAAGTTAATTAAACAGTTAAATTTTTATTTCACTGGTTCTCGTCAGCTGCTTACAACCTGTGATATTTAAAATCATAATTACATACTTACTTTCGCCTGTTACTCCTAATGAAGCACAGGCCACCGACAAGCATTCTTCAACCCACTCTATCATGGGCCTTTTCTAGTTCCATCCAATTCTTGTTCATTTTCCTCATGTCTATCTCCATTTCGCGGCATAATGTGTTCTTTGGTCTTCCTCTTTTCCTTCGGCTTTGATGATTCCATGTGAGGGCTTGTTTTGTGACGCAGTTGGTTGCTTTCCTCAATGTGTGTCCTATCCACTTGCAGTGCTTCTTCCTGATTTCTTCCTCCACTGGGATCTCGTTTGTTCTCTTCCATAGTAGGTTGTTGCTAATAGTGTCCGGCCAATGGATCTGAAGTATTTTGCGTGGACAATTGTTAATAAACACCTGTATTTTCTGGATGATAGCCTTGGTAGTTCTCCAGGTTTCTGCCCCATACAGTAGAACTGTCTTGACATTTGTATTGAAAATCCTGACCTTGGTGTTGGTTGACAGTTGCTTTGAGTTCCAGATGTTCTTCAGTTGTAAATATGCTGCTCTTGCTTTGCTGATCCACGCCTTCACATCTGCATCAGATCCACCCTGTTCATCAATGATGCTGCCCAGATATGTAAGGTTTTTACATTCTACAAAGCTTCTCCGTCAAGTGTCATCCGATTGTTGCATACTGTGTTGTATCGAAGATCCTTGCTTTTCCCTTTGTGTATATTGAGACCTACTGCTGCTACACTGGTCGTGTTCTCCTGCATTTGTTGTTGCGTTTGGGATAGAAGGGCCAGATCATCTGAGAAGTCTAGATCGTCCAACTGCATCCTAGAAGTCCACTGTATCCCGTGCTTCCCTTCAGATGTTGATGTCTTCATGATCCAGTCGATCACTAAGAAAAAGAGAAAGGGTGAGAGTAAGCAAGCTTGCCTGACACCGGTCTTCACTTCGAAGGAATCTGTGAGCTGTCCTCCATGCACGATTTTGCAGTTTAATCCATCATATGAGTTCTGTATGATATTGACTATCTTTTGAGGCACGCCGTAATGTTGAAGAAGCTTTCATAGTCTTGTTCTGTCCACGCTATCAAATGCCTTTTCGTAGTCAATGAAGTTGATGTAGAGTGATGAATTCCATCCAATTGATTGCTCCACAATGATCCGTAGAGTTGCGATTTGGTCTGTACACGATCTATCCTTACGGAATCCTGCCTGTTGGTCACGAAGTTGGGTGTCTACGCAGTCCTTCATCCTGTTTAACAATACCCTGTTGAAGACTTTTCCCGGTATTGAGAGAAGAGTGATGCCCCTGTAGTTATCACACTTGCTGAGATCGCATTTCTTCGATATTTTGATCAGAAGTCCTTTTTTCCAGTCTTCTGGTACTTGTTCCTCATATCAAATCTTATTGAAGGGAATGTGGAGTATCCTTGCAGTTGCCACTACGTCTGCTTTTAGTGCCTCTGCTGGGATGTTGTCCGGTCCTGCTGTTTTGCCACTTATGATTTGTCTGATGGCCATGCTGATCTCTTCAATTGTTGGTGGGCCAACATTGATTGGGAGGTCCGTGGGTGCTGCTTCGACGTTGGGTGGGTTCAGTGGCGCTGGTCGATTCAAGAGTTCTTTGAAGTGTTCTATCCACCTGTTTTGTTGCTCTTCAATATTGGTGATTACCTCGCCTTCCTTGCTTTTCACTGGTCGTTCTGGTTTGCGACGATTTCCAGAGAGTTTCTTTGTCGTGTCATACAATTGTCTCATGTTTCCTTCTCTTGCATCCTTTTTCGCCGCCGTTGCTAAATCTTCCACATATTTACGTTTGTCGGTTCTGATGCTCTTCTTTACTTGTTTGTTAACTTCTGTGTATTTAGCTTGTGCCTTGGCTTTTTCTGCTCTTGTTCGACTGGTATTGATTGCTGCCTTCTTGTTCCTCCTTCCTTGAATCTTGTCCAGTGTGTCAACGGTGATCCATTCCTTGTGATGGTGCTTCTTGTGCACCAGAACCTCATGACATATTTAAGTGATCGCCTCTTTGATCCCCTTCCAGTTGCTCTTCATAGTAGTTCCTTCTCCATTGAGTAGATCATGAAAGGCCTGGAACTTATTGCTGAGGACCATCTTGAATTTGTTGAGTTTGTCAATGTCCTGAAGAAAGGCTGTATTGAACATTTGTGATGTCCGCCATATTGTCCAGTGCTTCTTGAGTTTCGATTTCATCTTGGCGACCAGAAAGTGATAATCTGAGGCTATATCAGCTCCTCTCTTGGTTCTCACGTCCTCCTGAACTTTTTGTTGATGCAGATATGGTCGATTTGGTTCTGTGTAGTGTAATCCGGTGAAGTCCATGTGGCTTTGTGAATGCGCTTATGTGGGAATATGGTGCCGCCTATGACCAGCTTATTGAAGGCACATAGATTTGCAAATCTCTCACCATTTTCGTTTCTTTCTCCCAGTCCGTGTCGTCCCATGATGTCTTCACATCCAGTGTTGTCCACTCCAACCTTGGCATTGAAATCTCCCATCAGAATAGTCAGGTCCTTTGTTGGGCACTTCTCGACGATTGACTGCAGCCTATTGTAGAATTGATCTTTAGCGTCTTCATTGTAGTCGTTGGTAGGCGCATAGCATTGGATGATGTTCATTGAAGTACCCTCTTTCTTTGTTGTGAACGAGGCTTTGATGATCTTTGGTCCATGAGATTCCCATCCTATAAGTGCATTTTGTGCTCGTTTGGACAGCATCAATGCAACTCCTTGTGTATGTGGAGCATTTTCTTCTTCATGGCCGCAGTATAACAGGAGCTCTCCTGAAGTTAGTCGTTGTTGTCCAACTTGCGTCCAGTGTGTTTCACTGATCCCAAGTACCTCTAGGTTGTAACTCCTCATTTCTGCAGCGATTTGGAAGGCTCTCCCGGTGTCCCAGATTGTACGAACATTCCATGTACCTAAATAAATGGTTGCTCTGGTTGTCAGAAGGAGCATCGGCCTCGTAACTTCCAAAGGAATTCGGCTTTCATTATGAGGCGTCATAGTTCTTCTAAATGAAGACCTTCTGACTCCCAAGGCAGAGTTTAAAAAGTTTGAATAATTTTTTCTGGTTAGCGTTATTTTAGCGAGTTAGTTTTTCTACGGGATGGGGTCGCTAACACCATGCCCAACCCCTCCTCCTTTATCCGGGCTTAAGACCGGCAGTAGCCCCCGGAGGGACTCCAGGCGGAGTTCATAACTACATAATCGGTTTAAATTACTTACATGAAAGAGTTTGATTGGAAGTTATATTGAAGACATATTCGTATAGTATAGCAAGAATGTAAATAAATTTAATAGACTGAATATTGTAAATATATACCTTATGTGATGAAAGAACATTCTACAACATTGTTGTGACAACAGTTCAAAGGGTTAGAAACAAGTAAACATTGATAGGAATAAAATGAGTAGAGTTCAGTTGATAAAATAAGATTATTAATTTGGAAGATAGTTGAAATAAAACTCAATGATGTGGTAAGTGCAAGAAAAAGAAAAAAAACATATTTAGGTACAGCGAAAGAGTATTTGTCACCAAGGCAAGGAAAGATTAATAACCATCTCCTTTTTTAACACATAAATCAGGCTTTTGGCGCCTGATAGCAACTGCTTCAGCAAACTTCAGAAGACTGGAGTTCGGTTGCTTACTAATCACCTTGAATGATTGTAGGGTATCGATCTGATGTCCTGTATCAAGAAGATGTTTGGTGATTGCATTATTTAGAGCCTTTCTTTCTCTTGTTCTGAGGCTTTTTGGGACATGTTCAAAAATCTGAGATATGCCCTCCTTTCTGTTCGGCCGATGTAGCTGCTTTGGCAGGTACATGTAAATTTATAAATACAATTGGCGGTAACATGAAAAGGATGCTTATCAACCTTTGATTGAGTTATTGAACATGTTGTTTTATACAGAATTTGAAGTTTGGCCGCCGGATGGGTTCTGGCTGGCGCAGTATTAAGTCTTCTGTTGACTGTGTTAGCAACATCATCACCTTTGAAGTTAAGATTTAAAGTTATTGGTTTTTTATTGACAGTAATTACTTCAGTATTATTTTCTTTACGCTTTTTATATTTGTCAATAAACTTTTGTAGGTAAAAGTTGTCTCGTTGGCATTTTTCCACTTTCACCAATTCTTCTTCCAGTTTGTCAGTGGTAACTATGGAACACGAACAGAATGACATGTTCCAATTTCTTGATGTTGCTATAAAGCGTAGGAGAGACGGGACAGTCTAACGTTCGATTTATCGAAAAAGTACTTGGAATGGCATTTACCTGAATTTCAATAGTTTTTGTCCATTGAGCTACAAGAAGGCATTAGTTAAAACACTATTTTATAGGGCAGAAAAGATATGTACCACTGTCATTCTGTTTGTGTTTCATATTTACCACTGACAAACTGGAAGAAGAATTGGTGAAAGTGGAAAAATGCCAACGAGACAACTTTTACCTACAAAAGTTTATTGACAAATATAAAAAGCGTAAAGAAAATAATACTGAAGTAATTACTGTCAATAAAAAACCAATAACTTTAAATCTTAACTTCAAAGGTGATGATGTTGCTAACACAATCAACAGAAGACTTAATACTGCGCTAGCCAGAACCCATCCGGCGGCCAAACTTCAAATTCTGTATAAAACAACATGTTCAATAACTCAATCAAAGGTTGATAAGCATCCTTTTCATGTTACCGCCAATTGTATTTATAAATTTACATGTACCTGCCAAAGCAGCTACATCGGCCGAACAGAAAGGAGGGCATATCTCAGATTTTTGAACATGTCCCAAAAAGCCTCAGAACAAGAGAAAGAAAGGCTCTAAATAATGCAATCACCAAACATCTTCTTGATACAGGACATCAGATCGATACCCTACAATCATTCAAGGTGATTAGTAAGCAACCGAACTCCAGTCTTCTGAAGTTTGCTGAAGCAGTTGCTATCAGGCGCCAAAAGCCTGATTTATGTGTTAAAAAAGGAGATGGTTATTAATCTTTCCTTGCCTTGGTGACAAATACTCTTTCGCTGTACCTAAATATGTTTTTTTTCTTTTTCTTGCACTTACCACATCATTGAGTTTTATTTCAACTATCTTCCAAATTAATAATCTTATTTTATCAACTGAACTCTACTCATTTTATTCCTATCAATGTTTACTTGTTTCTAACCCTTTGAACTGTTGTCACAACAATGTTGTAGAATGTTCTTTCATCACATAAGGTATATATTTACAATATTCAGTCTATTAAATTTATTTACATTCTTGCTATACTATACGAATATGTCTTCAATATAACTTCCAATCAAACTCTTTCATGTTAGTTATTTAAACCGATTATGTAATTACGACTTTAAATATCACAGGTTGTAAGCAGCTGACGAGAACCAACGAAATAAAAATGAATTCACACTATTCTGCTAGAATGTTTGTTCTTGCTCTTTCCAAAATGACAAAGGGAACTATATGTATGAAACAGTTAAATAAGTGTTTCTTTATAGTAGATAATTCGCTCCCGACCGTTGTTTCTACCTTGATGTTGTGGTCAGGACTGCCTCTCAGGACGAACCAATCGAACTATAATTTTAAATAGAGCAAGAACAAAGATTGGTGCAGAATAATTTGAATTCATTTTATTTCGTTAGGTTCTCATCAGCTGCTGGGACAATCGTTCATCAAGGTCTTATGATACCAGATATGTTGGTTGAAGGACAGTAATACTAAAAGCAACAAACCCAACATCTCAAGGAGAAGTCGTACTGCTCACTGTACAGACATGTGAATAAAGCTGATAATAATAATAATAATAATAATAATAATAATAACAGTAAAGTGTTTTCTTCAGACAACCAACATAACAGCGATGCTGCCTTCCCACAACAAGGGGTGGGGTTAGAAAAGGTCGGACATAAAAACACACACACCGCCTTATCCCACGGATATCCGTCTCCGAAGGTAAGGTCTCAACAAGTACGGAGCTAACACAAAAATCCCTCATGAAAAGATCGTGTGTGGTCGACCTTAAGCAGTTGTCCCTTGGGCACTGCGGTCAAGCTCTCAGGTCTCTAGGACCACCTTTAATCCAAATTCCTTTTTCAGGTACCTCCAGAAGTACCCTTTGATGGTGTGGGTAACCGAGAAGTGATAACCGCCCTCATACCTCTAACGGCACTCAAGACCACTGTATTCATATTCAACCTCCACTGACTGAGATAATTCGCTCTTTTACAAAACTAAATGAAAATTAACAAGTTAAACTGTAGACTTTTATTTAACGACGCCCACCCTGCTCCAGTATATTTAGTATATAATTAGTGGTGAAATCTAACGTGTGTATTTTCATATTTATTTAATTTAAACACATAAACATTGGTACAAAAAGGCACCAAATAGATATGCGCCACATAAATCACTCGATTTATGTGAGGGCTGAGATACTGTCCGGGTGCCCAAATCGAAGCAGATGGTTTTCTTAGGAAGCCACACCGGAGCCTTTGACCTAAAGGTCTAATCTATAAGACAGTGGAGCGACGTCACATGATGCAGTCCCATGGTAGTTGGTAACTAATAATTGGTTCATACGGCAGTTGTTCCATCAAGATACTGAAGCCCATGTGGACCATTGGTTCCCAATCAAGGTTTTCCAACTTCCCTCTATAGATCCTTCATATCCACCAACCCGGTTAAAGCACCCAACATTCGCTTTCCGTCCTCTCAATTTCATAAACAACACCCGTGGTGCAAGAAGGCAGTGAGTAGAACTTCCCTGGCAGTGGTTGTATGAACGTGGCCATGTGAGAGTATTTGGAGAGGGAGAGCTGACTCTTCTCACTGTCGACCGTACCAGGGCATTTGGGGGCGCATTTTCATATAAGCCAATGGTTATCTGGATTCAACAGTTTACTGAATAATTCGTTAGATTTTTGATGAGGAAAGTATTGCGTTCAGTTCCTAGTGCAAACATCAACACTGAGATGCGGAGGCATATTCAACCAGAATGGAATCCACGTTTTGGATTCAGTTGCTAGTTACATATCAAGCAATAATACTAACAATTGTTCTATACAAAATTATACGTTTAATACAATATGGAAATCTCAGTAATCCACTCAAGATTCACGTATTTCGTAGAAATTAATCGGTTGAAATTTCGAAAATCAATAAAGGGAAATTAAAAATTCTCAATAAGCTACTAATGTGGTTTTGACAAAATTTTAATGTCAGTATAGGGTTGTGGAGATTATTAAGTTTTTTGATAAAGATCATGAACTGATCGATGTTCGAGTTGGAATCCCGCAAGCGGAGTCATGAATGCGCATTGCTGAGGAGTCCCACAATAGGACGATTCGGCCTTCCAGTGCTCCCAAGTTTTTCATAGTGGTCTAACATCAATCAGTTTATGATCTCAATCAAAATTTTAATGTTAAAAATAAACATTTCATATAATTTACAGAAAGATTTAAATGATTTGAATAGTTTCATGAAACAGCTGATTTTATATTTAAACAGACTGATGCCCATTGATCAGTTAGTTCTTCACTGTACTTTTATGTAAGTCAAAAATGTATTTAAAGGGCTTCATTATTTGATAGATAACAAAATAATTCTTAATTAGATTTCGCGAAGCAGTTTTATATTTCCATCGTTTAGAAAAATATAAAACATTAGAAGAGCAATCATTATTTATGCTACCTAGAAGACTGTATTTGTTTAACCAAATAAAGCTGGGTAGGTAGGTGTGTATGGTAGTATGAAAAAATAGTTAGCCAGTTGATAAAATTGTACTTCTTCATTGACTAAACTAATTGAAGATATTTACAATACAATATACCAGCCACTGTCTAAATCAGAGGTGAAATAGTTACTGATATAAGAGTAGGTTTGGTAAAGGCCTGAAGTGACAAACTAAAATATGACACAAACTTATGAGGTCATCAAGTACTAGTTCTGAACCATATCCAGGAGTGTAGACTTCTTAATTGGGAACTATATGAAACAAGCTTACAGTTTTAGTATTATTTCATATTCCTTATTCAATCACCACAATCTCTTAGTGACAATATTCTTTATCAACAGGGTGATGTTACAGTACAGGTGAAAATCAAGTATATGAATCTGTACCTGATACATGAGTTAATAAAATGAGAAGAAATAATTATTAGTCAGTCGGTAATACAGAATATAGGATCTGGGACGAACGTTTATCAATCCAAGTTGTGAAACGTTACAACAAAAGAGGGTGATAGGGAAAATCAACAAGTAGAAGAAGGATGAAAAATAGTGATAATAATATCTATTACAATGAGAAGTTGGGCAAAAGAAATCTAAATTAAAGGGAACGAGTAACTGAAACCAAATAATGAGTAGCATGGGATGGGACAAACCTCAACATTTAGAGGAACATAAAGAACAATTGCCAAATAATGTTTCTGGTCACAGATAACCATTATTACAGGAATCCGAAAAGGGTACCCTGAGATTACTGATATGGTTAAGTTCAGCAGTTATTTACCTCGTGGTCTGATATTATATCTTCTATGGGTTACTACAATCCATCTTCAAATCAACTCCACGAACCAGAATTAAGCCTCGAAGTGTGCGGTATGTATGATTGTATAAAAAATGTTCTAACCATGTCAGTCGATGTATGTTTAAAGCACCATCGATAGACTTACCATTCTTAACTGAGGCTACAATGCTTAAATTCATGATCACTCAATTAATGGTTCTACCATAAACAAGGTTTAGAAGACATCAATGTTTAAATAGTTGAAACTTGTACATACCTTTCATGTTCATTGATTATGATTAACAACCACATATCAACACAGAGTGGACCCTTGTGCAGTGTGCCCTTCTCTTGATGAGAACACACATATATTGCTTGCGCCATAGGTGAGGCAAGTCTTTTAAAACAAAGCGAGTTTTTTTAATATTCAGGCAGAGATTTTATCAATCACCAATCTATTATGTAAAGTTGTAAACAAGAAATGTTTTCATTCGTGAACAAATCAACAACAACAGAGTAGAATTACAAATATATTGAAAGTAACATAAAATTGGTGCAGATCTTACCTTGAAACCGTTCTTAGTTAAATCGATCGCACCAGTGAAAAGATCCGACCATTTTAATGAACCAAATCGTTGATGCATAACTGCGAGGCCACGTACTAGAGACGGGATACCTACTAAACTTGCAGGTTTATTTTTATCTGGTTTATCTCGTTCTGTAGCACTATTACGAACAGGACAAGTGAAGTCAAATAAGTGACTTAATTGTTTATTACGATCACGAACTAGTACAGCGCCACATCCTCCTAAACCTATGGTTCAAAGTTAAATGTAGAATATTTACTATTGAATATTACAGAAAAGATACACTTGACGGCAAAGATATCACTAATAAGAATTTATTAGTAGTATTACAGAAAATCGATCATTCTAATAGTATAACAATTACGACTTTAATCTTGTCATTACACTGAAAAGAAACGAGGAAATAAGTGAAAGCGATATGAAATATAGCAACTTGAATCGATATACACTTATATCAGGTCTTAAAACAGATGAAGACTGATATTTGTCAGCCGATAACAGTTTGATTCACGAACTTTATTTAAGGGCGCATATCAAGCTTGGAACACGATAAATGAAGTTTCTACTCAATGTATGAGCCACAAGATTTTATGCCTTATACGTATAACTTTATGCGGTAAGCCTTAGACTCTACCTTGTGTCAGAGGGTTAATCATACCTATATGACTTCTCAAACCAAGAGGACAGTAACATTTGACTGCGATACCCATTGGTTTGAATAATAAACCACCTACCTGAGTTTCAGTAACCAGGATGGTATCTCTAGACCAAAGACAGCAAACAAGCTTTAAAACCTAGTAAAAGAATTTACACTTGGTTCTTAGTGGAGCGATGGGATAGTGACTGAAGTGCCCAACTCTCTACTATGTTCAAATCCCATATTACCTAGTTTCATTTGAGTAATTAGATAGTATCATCAGTCTTTACACTCAAACTTGTGGCTAGAAGACGAGTACAAAACTTGCACTTTGTAAATACGTTACACTATTATTTTGATTACTACTTAGTAAGTAATTCCTACTAACATCATTCCACTAAGATCGGCACATTATTTCTTATTTTACACAGAAAACATCTTGGATATAGTTTACATTAAGATATACTTTGTTAGGATCTATAATTTGATAGTTAAATGCAGATTTGAATACCTGGTGTTAAGGTATATGTTTTGTATGAACGCTGGAGATGCTAAGCGATTGACTAAACTGAAGTGGGTAGTATAGCGTCGAAGTATACAAATTAGTGGCTGAAGGTTAAGTACATTAATTATTCAGTTGTCGCTAATTGTGAGGAGCTTTCATTCATTTATGTCACTTAGTAGTGATAGTAATATATGTCATACAGCTTTATGGGATGAAGTAATAAAAAAAATTAAACACTTCAAAGGAGATTCTTGTTTTCTGTAAAGTGGTTTAAGCTTACACAGGAAACAGGCAACTAGTTACTGATGTAAAGCATACGTAAAATCTTTAAAAAGAACTAACAGAAAATATTCTCGGGAGAAATAGACCAATATTATACTCAGAATAAAAATTTTATTTATGTAGGTAAGATTTCTACGAAACTATTCGCAAGATATAAAATATGCTAAGCATGAAATAAAAAGTTATTTGAAGATTTTTTATAATAAGAATATTATACTTCTGAAATCAATGTCGAATAACTGTATGATCAATAATTCTACTTCTTATTACTGAGATCTAGTTCTAAGTCATAAACCTATATGAAATAAAATATTGTACACTGTAAATATATTAAGTTTAATACAAGAAAATGGACGGATTCTAGCAAAGATTTGATTCTCGCTTGTATACAACTCCAAGAATGAAATAATCAAAAAGAAATATGTTTTTGGCTAACTAAATACAGTCAGTCAGCTACAACGTAGGACCAGACACATATGTGCATCGGTCCAGGTTGCCATACCGCATCAGCACAAGATGAACACCGGATTCACAGCAGTGGTTAGGTCAGAGGTGGTAATATATAAGAGAAAGATTGCATATAGAGATATAGTACAAGAAGAAAGAATTGGTTCGTAGAAAAAAAGATATGAAGTGATTTTAATCTCTTAGTTTAAGGGAAGACAGGGAGTGTATACACCGACGCCATTGTGATAGATTCTGAGCCATGTCACCAAGAGTCTCCAACCATTGGTTACGAAAGTCACGCGGACCCCAAACAAGTAGTCTGCATCTACCAACATGGCTCAGACTACAAGTTAGTGTCTTCAAGCACTGATGCCATATTTTGGTTTGGCCGCCCCTAACTTTCTTCCAACCATCCCCGACACTAGTCAGCATTGCACGTCGTGGTGATCGGTGTTTGGGCATACGTAACACGTGACCCAACCATCTCAGTCGATGAAGAATCACAAACTCGTCAACTGATTTACCATCATTCCCTAATACCCAGCGTCTAACCTCACTATTACTTACCTGGTGATCCCAGCAGATACGAGAAATGTTCATAAGGCATCTGTCGTCAAATACCTGTAGCTTACGAGTAACTTCAACTCTTAATGGTCATGCTTCGCAGACTTAAATTAAAACAGAGCGGACTGCCGCACAGTATACTCGTCCTTTTATTGATAGACGCATATCTCGCCTTCGCTATGTGTGAGGTAAGTTGGCAAAAGCCAAGCGAGCTTTTCGAATTCGTGCTGAGATTTCGTCAGACACCGACACATTAGGGCTGATCACACTTCCGAGATAAGTGAAGTTGTCAACACGTTCGACTACTTCACTCCCTATCCTTAGTTTAGGTGTTGACGCAGACCAGTCCTGAAGCAACAACTTGCATTTAGAGGGAGAGAAGCGCATCCCAAACATTCTGGCATTGTTGCTTAGTGCTACCAGAAGACTCTGCATTTTGTCAGCGTTTTCACCAAACAGGACTATGTCATCCGCGTATTCTAAGTCGACAAGTGGACCTCCTGGAAGGAGAATAATGCCCGAGAATTCAGTCGACGAGAATGTTATTTCCATCAGAAGATCTATGATGAAGTTAAACAAAAATGGAGAAAGTGGACAGCCTTGACGAACACCACTTGAGGTTACAAAAGTAGATGACAGTTCGCCATAAGCCCTGACTCGACTAGTAGTGTTCGAGTAAAGAGCCTTCAAATGGTTGATCTACTTCTGAGGTACGCCTTTCAATGACAGACACTGCCACAGAATCTCGCGGTTTACCGAGTCAAATGCTGCTTTTAAGTCGAGAAAGACCACCATTGTCGGACGCCGATAAGTATGCCTGTGTTCTAGAATCTAACGAATGGTGAATATGTGGTCGATGCAGCCACGACCAGGTCTGAAGCCACACAAACTCCCTTGTTTCAAGTCTCAATGGAATGATAATATGAACAAAAATACACTGTTCCATAGAAATCCCATAAAATCCTCTTGAAAATCTTAATTGACAAAAGTTTAATCTGCTGAAATTGAAGTAGCATAGGTAGACCATACTATAATAGATTTCTAGCCACATACTGTTTAGAAGCATTGGGTTATTGACTACGTAATAGGTTATGTAAACTAACGTGGAATAACCGAATGGCGACTGCTTACGCAGAAAAACAATTACTTAGACAGAGCTCTCTCTAGAAGGACTGACATTATAAAACTTCAAAATTGATCAAGTAAATAGATTATTTTACTTAATGAATTAACACACAAAAACGTTTACTCAAAAATAAACATAAATAGGACATATAGATAGTAAGGCCTGTTTCTAAAATTTACTGGAAATTTTATGAATTTAGTTAACACTTTATTATATTCTTTTACTGTCTAGTGTTTCGTGGATAATACATTTCACTTGGCTCTAGGCCAATTCGAACAAGGATCGAGAGGGAACTTTGTATATTCCAATACACCAGAACAACAAAAATTCAAGTAATCAAAAGGTGTTATATCTCTCTCACGGTTATGACCCAGCTATTCCTATTGCTTAGTATTCTTGGACACCGATTCACTCGACAAGACCCCAAATCAGAACACGGTTGAACAGGAAAGAGATTATATTCCAAATAACAAGGTTAGATGGAGGCAAGATGCAAGCCAGAAGCACAATAGGGAAAACGTCAGTATTTTTATAGTTTTTTACATAAGAAGATTCCAGAGTATTCTCCAACTATCGACTAGTGCTGATTGGATAAGAATTAGCCAATCAGCGTGCAGCAAAGCAATCATGCATTGAGCGTGCTTTAATCTAGTCTATGTCCCGCTAACAAAAGGATTTACATAAAAATCTCCTATCTATTATGACGAGAGTCAGCCACTCAGCTACAACGTACGACCAGGCACATATATGCATCGATCCGAGTTACCACACCTCATTAGCACAAGATGAACACCAAATTCATACAAGTAGTTACTTCAATGGTAGTGATATATAAAAGAAAGATTGCATATAAGGACATAGTACGGGAAGAAAGAATTAGTTAGTAAAACGAAAGAAATAAAGCAATTTCAACCTCACGGTTTAAGGAAAGACAAAGAATGTATACACCGACGCCATTGTGATAGATTCTGAGCCATGTCACCAAGAGTCTCCAACCATTGGTTACGAAAGTCACGCGGACCCCAAACAAGTAGTCTGCATCTACCAACATGGCTCAGACTACAAGTTAGTGTCTTCAAGCACTGATGCCATATTTTGGTTTGGCCGCCCCTAACTTTCTTCCAACCATCCCCGACACTAGTCAGCATTGCACGTCGTGGTGATCGGTGTTCAGGCAAACGTAACACGTGGTCCAATCATCTCAGTCTGTGAAGACGAGAGTTAACAAAATGATTTTAGAGGAAAGGAGGAATATGTTAAAGTTTTAAAACATGGATAGTCGGTGGTTCTCAATAAAATAATAAAAAGTGTGAAGTTACATATTAAACAACAAAACAATAACTTTTGCCAATGTTCAACGCTACGAAATACCAAACATAGAATATCAGAGGGAAGAGTACAATAGGATGATAGAAACGAATAAGTAATAAACAAGAAGACGAAGATTATCAGAACTATGTGATATATTAGCCCAATACATTTCGAACAATCTGGTCACACATATACTTGTTAAGAGCATTTATATATAAAAATAAAAGGTCAACTAGACAGGAAACGGGGTAAGAGGAGATAAGGATAATGATAAGAGTAATAATAATAATAATGTGAACACAATTTGAAACCTAATCACTCTGGATAATAAGTCAATATTACCAGGGTAGGTTTAAGGTAAGAACAAACTGTTTTTGAACACATAAAGGGGGTTTGAATTTTCGTATGGCTAAGGCTTCAATGAACCTTAGTATACGCCCTTTTACACTTTTATACAGCACTACAAAAGCTGAATTTAGATCAATCTTGTGACCTGTTTCAATTATATGTTTAGCAATAGAGGATGATGGATGTTTATCCTCTGCTCTTATCGGGTCACTTGATTGTATTTGTTTCTGAAGCCATTTGGGTACATGTTCACTCACCCTAATGTTGAGATCACGATTACTCCTCCCTATGTATGTGTGACCACACACACATTTAAATTGGTAAACACAGTGGGATGTGACGCAATCGTTTCCATGTACTTTAGGTTTTGAATGAAGCATGCACCTTGTTCTTTCTTTGATGATGACCTTTGCTGCGCAATAGGTTTTATTGATGACTGATTTAAGTCGTTGTTTCAGTAAAAAGCTATTTGAATCACCTCTGAATGGTAAGGTGATGTAGACAGGCTTTTTCTCTACCGAGGCTATAGTAGGTCTCGCTGAACCATGGACTTTCCATCTATTTATGAATTTCAGAGGATAGCCATTTTCTATTAACGTTTTATTTAACAACTTAACATCATCATCAATGGCGTCATTGGTACAAATACGGTCGAGTCTGTTGAAAAGACACCTTATCAAACCACGTTTGTATTGCACAGGTCAATATCTAAGTTATTATAGTTATTGCCCTGTGCAATACAAACGTGGTTTGATAAGGTGTCTTTTCAACAGACTCGACCGTATTTGTACCAATGACGCCATTGATGATGATGTTAAGTTGTTAAATAAAACGTTAATAGAAAATGGCTATCCTCTGAAATTCATAAATAGATGGAAAGTCCATGGTTCAGCGAGACCTACTATAGCCTCGGTAGAGAAAAAGCCTGTCTACATCACCTTACCATTCAGAGGTGATTCAAATAGCTTTTTACTGAAACAACGACTTAAATCAGTCATCAATAAAACCTATTGCGCAGCAAAGGTCATCATCAAAGAAAGAACAAGGTGCATGCTTCATTCAAAACCTAAAGTACATGGAAACGATTGCGTCACATCCCACTGTGTTTACCAACTTAAATGTGTGTGTGGTCACACATACATAGGGAGGAGTAATCGTGATCTCAACATTAGGGTGAGTGAACATGTACCCAATAACAAGATTCAAGTCGTATTTAAAATTCTAGATAGTAAAAGAGATGAGACAAATTAAATCAGTTATTCTGATTCTATAAAACTGATAAAAAATATGAGGTAGGGATTACTGCTAAATGAAACTTACTTGCAACATCAGGGCGAGTTACAGTTAGGCATAACATAACAGATACTATTGCATCAACAGCGTTCCCTTTGTTTTTTCGCATTATATTTAAGCCTATTTGACCACAGAAGTCATCGTCAACTGCAACAGCACCTTGAGGTACGACCTTTGTTTTACAATTAATTAGTTTAAAGTAGGCATTACCTGAGGCTGTCCAAAAATAATGCTGAAAATTAGAGCTATAGTTATAGCAGTCGATAAGACTATCACAGACAATACAACTATATTTACACCTTCAGGTCGCCACTTTTTATTCGATTCATTTGTGTTTTTTAAAATACTGTCAGTATCTTTATTGACCATAAATTCATTGTGTTCACCAAAAGGTGCTTGACGGGTCTTGGAAATATCCGACTGAGTCAGTTCAATATCAGGATTCTTCTCTTCAGATTTACTCTCCATCGCCAAAACAAATGGGTGCGAGAATTACAATATGTGGACTTTTCTTTCTACTGTAATGGCTATAAGAAGATAGAGTATCTGTTGTTAACACGGTCTGACGTAAGACTTAAGGCGCTAGCTACTGGGAAATTCAAGAAGAATAAGCTGGAAGGAGAATAATAGTGGTAGATATTATCCATAATGTTGATCACAGTAGAAGGTAACGGTTACTGTTATATATATATATATATATATATATATATATATATATATATCCCAATTAGATGTTACTTCATTAACAAACAGTTTGCTTCAAGTTTGTACCGGGGAAAATATTTTGAATAAATACAGTTTCGTAAAGCACCGTAACCATATTCCTAACTTGCCTTTTATCTATCTCGGAGGAAGGATTGAGATAACAAAAGAGAAAACGAGCTTGTATCAAATCGCAAAAGTGCTGCTCAAGTGAGGCAAACAGAGGACATGGTGTTTTTAAAGCCTAGTCTTACTGATTGAGACCTTAATCTACAAAGCAATAGAGACCTCGAAAAAATCTGCGTCGCAGGATATAATCGATAAAAAGAAGTTATAGACGACCAAATTTTATGGGATTTTCGGGCATGTGAATTTCCAACGTAAGATCACGAATTGGTTTAACGTGATTGACAGGTCTCAGTGGAGCAGATCCATTCACTCTGTCATAAATTAGACTTTGGGTACCAAGACTGTCTTAGACTTTTAGTTTCGTGAAATCGTTTATTCCTCTCGAATAACAATATCTACGTCTAATATTTTCTATCACTGCTAATGGTACTACTTCTACCACTCTAGAATTAGCCTTTACAAATTTACCACACTGTGATGCTATGATGAGGTAATTTACACCGATACATATACATACCATATTTGAAGTAATTACGATTTTCATTACTTAGTCAATGAAACTCTAAAAACTGGTAAGCGTGGCGTGATGAAACAATAGTTTGAAACTTCAATGATTCTTAAAATAATGTTCTTTAAAGAATCGTTTACCTAAACTACCTTACAAAAACGATATGTTCAACACGAAAAATCAACCTAAATCAGGTAGAAAAAAGATTTAAATATTTTATAGACATGATGAATTCAGTTTCATCAGATGATATTTAGCAAACAAACAGTCTTCATACAAGTAATGCTTTCTAATCGACGTGGTGAGATAAGAGTGGAAAAATAGCTTTGATCGTAATAATTAACCGTCACAAATCAAAAATGTCCCTTCTAATAAAGAGAAAAAGGAGAGTCCACTCATATATACACTGTGAGCCTGACCAGTATTTTTGGTTAATGATATCATTCCATAAAGTTTTTATCACTAACTGACATGTTATAATGCAAAAAGGGTAGGGTTCGGTAATAAGAATTAAAGTGGAGTTTTGAGTTAGGGTTTGCAAACTGAGGGTAAAGTTTCCAATATGAATCGACGTGAGCAACGATGCAATATCTTGCCAACTTTCTGTTTACAAACTTGAGGAACTTAGGGTTGATATTTTGAGTGAGAGTAAGAAAGGGAGAACATTACCAAGCTTTACTAAACACTCGTGACCACATAGTGAGTGACACTAAGTACTTCGACACACGATCTGCTTCAGAAGCAAGTATGCCAGCATCATCTAAATCTCACTTCACTGTATAACAGATATTCTAATCGATTTTAAACATTTTAAGGACGAATATTGACAATTTTAACCTGGCTGGTAACATACATGTTACTTTTCACTGAACTGTGAACTTTTCGCAAAATATTTGGGATGCTATATTAACTCCGATTTGTTAACTTAAGGCTGTTAATATATTATTTTGTCAATGGTCAACACATACAAAACCTTGTGTAACGTATAATTTGTAAAACCCTCAGTTTGTAATGCTCAAATTCCAAACTTTGCTAGACAGATTATATCATATTAATATTCACTTTAATTCCGCTTTGCTGAACTCGTCCTCTTTAGTTTTTGATCTGAGTATGTTAAAGGTGAATAAACAGACTGTATAATTGTGATCATTAACTTTGTTTAAATAAGAATATATTGGAATGGACATAAATTAAAGGGTTCAGGAGTTTTATCCGTAAGGATTTGCCGTTGGCAGACCGCATAAAAAGACAGGAAGCTGAAAAATAACCACAACATAGGTTGACGCTGGCGAGAAGGACATAAAAATTGTAAATTTTCGGGTTGTAAGGCTTCGACAGAGAATGGTGCCGAAGCCACTCTGGGTGAAGCACGAAGCCACTAAAATAGGCTTCGGATCTTCTTCACTAATGCCCGTATCTCACTTAATAAGCGATCGGAACTAGGTGAACAGATTGACTTTTCAAAGCCAGACATAATGGCAGTCACAGAAACCTGGCTCACACAGTCTATTGATAGTATGGAACTTGTTTTCGAGGGTTTTACGTTAGTTAGAGCCGATAGAATACAAAAGTGTAAAGGGTGGTGAGTAGCTCTATTCATTAGGAATGCTATCCCATTTGCCATTATCGAAAGTGTAACCAATGAGAGTGAGAAGTTTGAATAAGTTAGTCTGTGGAGATAGGTCTGACAAGCTTATTTTGTAAATAGTTTTTAATATTATGGGTATTTATTTTGTCAATTTCTCACTGAATGTACATTTATCATCAAATGATCGTACCTGTTGTTTTAGTAAATGACTTTGAACACTTATTCCGTTGTGATACTAACATAGCGTGACATACCGTTGCTGGCTAACAAATACATTGCTTCTCACACATTCCTCGTTCTATTTTCATTCGTGATTGAGTTAACTGAGATCTAAAACAAATATTATTTACATTCATAGACTGTGAGTGCGAATACTCAATACCTTACTTTGGATTACACCACTGGGGAGTTCACCGACACATTTGGAATTACCAAGCATCTATAATTGTGGATTTATTGTACCTGACGAAAGCTGAACACGCATAACTTTGGGTGAACTTCAGTAAAGTTCCGTTTTTATTGTATTTGTAACATTTAACTGGTATATATTAATATTACTATTGATTTTTATTAACTTTGTTGATACTTTTTGCGTTTATATATCGTCTGGTCCTTCACAATTATTTGGTGAGCCTCGTGTTTATCCTAACTGTTATATTGTTGATGATTTCACACAATTCACTGGTTTATTTTTCTCCTAACGTCCTCTCCCATTAATCTCATTGATATGTATTCGCCTCCAATAAGAACTTTTGTCTCATTGTCGAACTCTACTGAAAATAATTTTAATTCAGTTAATACTATCTCAGAATTCAGACTCCCAACTTGTGGAGCTTATAATCCAAGAGTCTGGTTTGCTCAAATTGAAGCTTTATTCATGGCTCGAGTCATATGATCTCAGGCAACAAAGTATGCGTATTTAGTCGGCGCACTTCCCATCGAGATAGCTGCTGAAGTTGATGATTTAATCGACCACGTGCCAGAGTCGGAACCGTATGATAAGTTAAAGGCAGCAGTTATTCAACGCACCACGGTCTCGGATGAGAAAAGGCTTCAACAATTGTTAAGAGACCCTCTCAACTTCTCCGCCACATGAAACAACTTGCCGGTCCACACAAGCTAGACGAAGCCCTCCTAAAGCAAATGTGGTTTCAAAGATTACCACGCAGCGTTAGACAAATTCTCAGTGTCTCACGGAAATCCGTCGCCCTTGACGACTTAGCCGACATAGCGGATAAAATGATGGAAGTATGCCACGACAATCACTGTGTAAACTGTTTACGACCAGTTGAACCAGCAGATATCAGTCGTTTAGCCTGTCAACGACGGCACCCTCAGAGTACTAAACTGTCTCTAGTCGCACCCAATAACACAGTCATTAAAACTTATGGTGAACAATCACTTATCTTAGATCTCGGTCTCCGGAGACGTTTCACATGGGTATTCATCGTGGCTGAAATCAAACAACCCATTATCGGGGCCCAATTTCTCGGTGCCTACAACCTACATGTAGATATGGGGAAAAACAAACTAATCGACAAAAACACAAGCTTACAGGTCAGTGGCACAACTATCTCCAGTTACGAAATTCATGGAGTCCGTATGTTAAGACCTGAAAACAAAATTTTCACCGATATCCTGTCGAAGTATGAAATTATAACCAGAGCTGATTACCAAAGCGAATGCTCCACACATCATGTCCAACACAGTAATACTACTACAGGACGACCCATTCTTGCCAGGGCGAGAAGACTCCCTCCAAACAAGTTGCAGTTCGCTAAAAGAGAATTCGAACACATGATGCAACTCGGGATAATCAGACAATCTAACAGTCCTTGGGCCTCGCCGCTGCATATGGTTCCCAAGAGAGATCAAGACTGGCGCTCGTGTGGAGATTATCGCCGTTTAAATAGCCAGACTATCCCAGACAGGTATCCGATCCCTCATCTGCAGGATTTTTCTTTAAATCTACATGGAAAACAGATCTTTCCAAAGTTAGATCTAGTCCGAGTATACCATCAAATACCGATGGCACCTGAGGCTATCGAGAAAACAGCCGTAATCACACCTTTTGGCTTGTTTGAATTCTTGAGGATGCCTTTCGGACTAAAAAACGCCGCCCAAACCTTTCAGAGATTTATGGACGAAGTAACTAGGGTTTGGATTTGTAGAATTATGGTCTACTATGATATTAGTACTGCTCTAATAATAGACCTAATCCTAAAATTGTAGATTTGTCATGATATAACTGCCTAATCTATAAGATCTTACGTGGAAGTCACACCATCGACTACACCAACTCACTGTATCGTATCAATTACCAATACATGATGTAGAACAAGGTTAGGCTAGAGAAAGAACAATATATTTAGTATGAACAGAAGATATAAGATTACATTCAGCAGGGACCACGCCTGCATGGCCGAGCCATGCCATTCCATCAACTCCAGTCCATTCAATTCCTTGTTCGTGCCTTCTCCATCGTTAGGTATTTCGCCGCGTTAACTATTGAATATCTATTTTCCGAGTAGTCTCGTTTTC